ACTGGGGTGCGCGCACCCCTAGGGGTGCACAGACCGACCAGCAGGGGTGCGCGAGTGAATGCTTTTGATGATCTGTGTGCATTTTTTTGAAGGGGCAAGTGAAAGAGAATTTTACTTGCCCGACCGGACACCTAATCTAATTAAAACATCGAATTAGGGAAGTACCAAAATTTCGGCGAGAATGATTCTGATTTTATTACACTTGGTGTAAACGGCAATTCATAATGGATAATCAATAGTAACAAGGTCGCGGCAGTTGAGACATATGAGAGACAATCTCATGGAGAAATCGAAACAAATGAACACAACTGCACACAGAAGAAACATACTGCGGTAAAAAATGTAGTTTTTATATTTATTACATAAAGCCTAGCCTAATTAATTAACATGACTAAGAGAGTGCAGTTTTCCCCGAAAACCAGTATGATTGTAAATTCGACATTGATTTTAAACAAGACTTCAAACGAATATATTCTAGTTTTTAGACAACACATCAAGGTCAAGGTCATTTTTATTTATATAGCACCTTAAAACAACATAATTGCTGACCAAGGTGCTTCACAGAAACCAATACAATAAAGACAGTCATACAGAAATACAGAGTTTAAAATATAAATCAAATAACGTAAACCATAAAACCAAATAAAAATCAAAACTAGGAATGTAACTCACTGAGACTAACATAGCTAAATTATAAATAGGCATGAGAAAAGAGATAATTCCAAGGATGATTTGAATGCAGATAAAGAAGGGGACAATTTCACATGTTGGTTATTCCATATTATGTGGAGATAATTTATCTTTGAAGGCTGTTTTCCATGCTTCTAATGTAAAAAAAAAAAGATAACTGATAAGTTCAAAGGCATACACATTTAGAAATCTATTGATAAACTCTCATATGTTTACGTCATTTATTTATCTCAAATGTGAATTTATAATAATTTCGCACAAAATTATACAGTCTGAAGAGGTTAAAAAAATCTCTTCCATCTCACTACACTATTATCATTTCAGCCAAAGCAACAGCGGAAACTCCCAGACAGAAAACCGGAGTTATTTATGATGTGTGGATGTGGATGTTAGGGATGGGCGTTACCAAACCTTTAAATCAGAATTGGCCTTTTTTTTTTTTTGACTGCCTTGAGAAAAGTTTCCATGGCATTTTCTTTTCCTCTTACCTCCCTAAAGTAGTGTTTATAAGCACAGCGATTCTTTGTTTACAGTGGTAAAAAAGAAAAACTCTATATCGCTGCTGTTCCATAAGCAGCTGTACTGGGCAACGCTGGTAAAATGATGCTACCTTCAGTGACACTATGCTCTGCTCATATGCTCTGATAATAATAGCTTTGTAGGACTATACATTATTTGGATGATAGTCCAAAAAACAACAACTAGTTGTAATTAGTAATTAGTTGTAACTAGTAATTAGAAACCCCTTGGCTGAATCGGGGCAAAAAGTCCATGTACTGTCTCTGTGGTTGTTACAGGCATGGTTGGGAGTTCTAAGATGGCCTCTTTGGCCGACTCAGAGCAGGACATGAGTTAAATGGCCTCCTCGGCCGGTTCAAAGCAGGACGAAAATTCATAAATGGCCTCCATGGCCGTAATAGGACAGGCAGAGAGTTCACAGACAGAGAGTTCACAGAGTCTCGGAAGGTTCTGCAGCCTGCACCGCCACCTTTGAAGAGACTGCAGCAGACACCCTGGTCTCTGGGAGCACAGCGGTGGGCACCACTACCTCGGAGGTTCCGCAGCATAAGCCGCCACCTCTGGAGATGTTGTAGCCGGCGCCGCCACCTTTAGCAAATCGGCAGTGGTGTACGCGGCCATAAAGCAAACCCTCACACGGGAACTGCTGCAGACAGGGGAATGAGTTCATGAGCGGGAGGACTAGCGTGATTTGTTTTGGGGATACCAGCTGCGCGTGCAGACACCTGTGGCGTATCCCTCACACTGGATACCATACTGGGATATTGAAGGACTGACCTTGATGATCTGGGTGCAACAGACAGAACGTGACATGACTCTGGATGATCAGTTGTGATGTGATAAGACTCTGGAAGTTCAGCTGTGATGTGGTGTGACTCTGGATGAACAGCTGTGATGTGATGTGATTCTGGATGATCAGCTGTGATGTGACGTGACTCTGGATGATCAGCTGTGATATGACGTGACTCTGGATGATCAGTTGTGATGTGACGAGACTCTGGACGAACAGCTGAGACGTGGCGAGGCTCTAGAAGATCAGCTGAGACGTGATGAGGCTCTGGCAGATCAACTGGGATGTGACGAGGCTCTGGCAGATCAACTGGGACGTGACGAGGCTCTGGCAGATCAGCTGATACTTGACTTGACTCATGAAGATCAGCTGTGACTTGACTTGACTCAGGAATGGAAGCTGTGACTTGATTTGACTCATGACGATCAACTGTGACTTGACTTGACTCATGAAGATCAACTGTGACTTGACTTGATTCAGGAAGATCAGTGGTGACTTGATTTGACTCAGGAAAATCAGCTGTGACTTGACTTGACTCAGGAAGATCAGCTGTGACTTGACTTGTTTTATGACGATCAGCTGTGACTTGACTTGACTCATGACGATCAATTGTGCCTTGACTTGACTCTTGAAGATTAACTGTGACTTGACCTGATTCAGGATTGGCAGCTGTGACATAACGGGGAGCTGTTGTGTCTAGTGAATAGAGAGCCAACAGTCAACAAAGCATAATCCAAAAATTGGCTGAGTGACGAACGCGGACCCTAAGCTTAGACTGAAGAGGTTGATTAATGCCATCACAGAAAAACTATATCAAAATAATGTCTGGTAACTCTGAATAGTGAGCGATGGTTAAAAACTCTCGAATATAGCTCTCCAGTGATCGTGTGCCTTGTTTAAGAGTTACTAGTAATCTTGTAGTGTCCATACCTAGTCATTGTCCATTTCCATTGGAAAAGCTGCTGAATCCTTGTGTGGCCGAGTATTCTGTAACGAGGCGACAGGGACGAGAGATCTGCGGATCCATTTTACAAATACTGTACTGCTTTTACTTCTGTAACGAGGCGACAGGGACGAGAGATGTGCGGATCCATTTGCAAAGCTTTTATTCAAAGGCGTGGTCAGAAACAGGCGAGGGTCAGACAATGGCAACAGGTATATTGAGGGCAAGACACAAGAATAGTCCAGTAAATGGACGTGGTCGATATCTGGCGAACAATGTCCAAACAGGGTAATCCAAAGGGTTAATCCAAACACAGGCGATGGTCCAGGCGAGGGGTAATCAGTATCCGAACAGGGTGAGACGAGAGGGGTAATCCAGGATGCACAGGAAGAATCAGAACACAAGAAAACAGGCAAGGCAAGACTATGACTAGACTATGGAAAACTCAAACAATGACAGGGAATTGACTCCGTAAAGTAGCTACGCTAAACAGCATAAATGCTTAAACAATACTTGACTGTTTGAACAGGATCTGAGTGGGTGTTATATAGTGTGTGTGTGATTGGTTTCAGGTGAACGTGTGATTAGTGAAATGGCTGCTGGGAAATGTAGTCTGGGGTGACATGTGAAAGATTGTGTAGTGAGAGAGTCATTAAAATGGAAGAGCGACCTTTGGTGGTAATTGGACGGAAGTCCATGAACCAGATTCGTGACACATTTAGTGTAAAATGAGAAGGGCTTAGCCTTAAAAAAAAAATTGAAGCTACCATGGAAAGGAATCACTTTGCATCTCTTATGAGGGATGGAAAACCAAGCAGATGGTATGTATGTGTGAACTCTTTACTTACACACATCTCTTGTGTATAATTTATTATAACAAATATTCATTAATATATGACTTGACCTGAAGAAGGACAGATGCAGGTAATTGCACATGTTGATCTCTGACTGTTTAGGTTTCTTTAGTGCATATCTATGGAGCCGCTGTGAATAATCACAATGGTACACAAA